AAAATATTTATACCGACTTTCGTCCACCTCAGCTGGCCGAAAAAACACAAACTTCTATGTTCTCTCGCTGATACTGATATGCAAGACTCGACTCAGTTTGAGTCAAGTCAAATTTTAAAATAATAAAATGATGTAAGTCGGTAGAGAGTCCTAAATTTTTCTAGGGTCTCCATTTTTGCGCGGATATATCGGTTGCAGACCCATAGTCAACATCATACATTCACCTACGTGCCATAAGTTATACTCACTTAGGTGATGATGGCTCTTTCCATTTATGACTGCCTCGGCAGAAGGATTTCCCGCCGTAGGGTACTGTTTCTCTCAGTGATAAACTGGTGGCGATCCAAGGCTACAAATCCTGGTCTGTTCTACTATTTAACCCATAGCTGGGAGAAGAGATGTATTCATAACTTTCCCAAGGATAATTGCGTGAAAGTGAATGCAACGAACGCGACTGGAATTCGAACTCTGAAATTTCATTCATTACACCCCCAACGCACATCTTTTTGCATCATACACATTGCTGAAATACTTTGTTCACAGCAGTAATTAGTTAACAAATTATATAACAATTTATCAGTTACCAAATTATACGAATATTTTATGCGACATAGACATGTAAGATTTCGCTACGAAAAAAACATATCTTCACTGTGGGAAATAATTAAAAAAGATTTTTGAAAATGTAGACATTTAAAATTTTTCACGATTCATCTTGAAAATTTAATCGAAGAGATCTGAGATTATCTCAAAATTAAATATGAATGTGAGGATAATCCAATCGGGATACCGTCCTGGGTATGACGTTAAACTGCATCCAACAGCAAGGCCTCTGATCAGGAGGTTTTGAGGAGCGTGGAACCACCTCTTAATTACTGGTGTTCCCAGGTCCACCTTGACCGGGGTGGTAGCACCTGTTAGGGTCCCAGCTATGGGCAAATAGTGAACTCCTAGTTTTTCCAGATCTTACCCACGTCCTGGGTATGGCGATAAACTACATCCGCGTCCTGGGTATGGCGATAAACTACATCCAACAGCAAGACCTCAGATAATGTTTTCGGAAAAATAATGTTGCCAGCTATGCGTTTTTGAAACAATAATGTTGCCAGCTATACGTTTTTGAAACAATAATTTTGCCAGCTATCCGTTTTTGGGACCATAACGTTGCCAGTCACTCAAAATCATTTTCGGCATAAAGTGACCACTAAGGTTGAGATGCCGTTAAACAAAACAATCAACAATCAACAATCAAATGGAAATTCTTGACTTAAACAAAAAATACCTAGGATTATTTTGCAGTGTGCAAGCAAATAAGTTCTATCTTGCTAAAAATGTTCCATAGAAAATAGGAATTTAAAATTCATATATTTGGTATATATATATATATATATATATATATATATATATATATATATATATATATATATATATATATATATATATATATATATATATAAACTGGATTTGGCATTAAATAACCCACAGTGGTTGATATGTCATATAACCCAAACAAACAAACAAACCAATCGGGATATTGAATAAAAGTTTTCATATTATATGGACAAAAAACAGAATGTTCGATAATGTTTGATCATAAAAAGAGTCAAGGAGCCAAAATCACCGGAGAGCAGATGAACTGCATCTCTTGAATGTACAAGGCAAAGAAATGCTTTCGGAACATTTCACTTTGACAGGAATATAACACTTTTTTTTTAATAAGACGTTTATTTAAATACCAGAATAATTGGCATTCAAAGCTGCCATCTCTGATAAATTCAATGAAAATTTAAAAGCCAAATTCTAACAATTTTTTCTAGGCTCGGAGATAGAAGATTATATATTGGGTGGGGGGATATGATCCTGAAAGGTTTTGGACGCGCCCTTCTAGACCACATAGACATAGAGACGAATATTTCTGGAAACGGTACAGACATTACTTTGATTCACGGCTTGACCCGGAATTCCAGGAACATGATATATTTTTGTTGTAGTGTCCACATCTAAAGAGTCGATGTTGGACTCTTCCACCTACTATAAAATTAGTAGGAGAGAAGGCCTTGGGGGATCAGTCGACCAGACTGTTCCTTTCTGTCGAACTCTCTGCCAGTGAGGAACTCGGACGAAGCTTTGCCGCAGGGCAAAGTTTCATCTGGGGAGGTAGACAGTCCCTGAACCCGTTTAGGCGGGTTCAAAGGGAATATTTTTGGCCGAGGCTACGGGCTCGGAGAACCCACAATAAACCCGCCTTGTACCACATACACCCTCGTGGTGGGGCTGTTAAATATTATCAGTCGAATAGATTGTTCAGTTTATCGAACTCTCTGCCTCAGCAGAAAGGCAGCCGGTCGCGGCTTTGCCGAAGGGCAAAGTTTCGTCCAGGCAGGTAGAAAAACTCTGAACCCTTTTTATACGGATTCTAAAAGAATATTTTTGGCTGAGCTTACGGGCTCGGAGAACCCACGGTATATTCGGCCTTGTGCCAGATACATCCCTCGTGGGGGGCTGTTAAATATTAACAGTCGAATAGATTGAATGCTGGTTCAACCGACATACACTCGCTAGTCGTGTAATACTTTCCTGTTGTGCTTACTGTTTAATATATGATATATCTGCAACACTTGTTTATTATTTCTTTAACCATTTACTTGGTCGCAACAATTTTACAGCACTGGTCCTGACACCTTAAGAAATGTTGGGCGCTATGTCATTCTGATGTCACTACATGTCCATCACAGAGAACATTAAAATTATATCGATCATTGTGAGTACCTCCATCTGATCTTTGCTCGTAATCATCTGTCCAAGTTTAAAAATCTGAGCCATTGTGGTTGCGATGTGACTTTGCATCGTGTAACACTGGAAGTTGTCAATACATCTGAAAAATATAAGATAATGGTAAAATGTTAAAAATATTAAAGATTTCCTAAACAACCAGCACGCACTATGTTTAATACGATTACCTTAAATATTATTGTAAAAATTAGTCGAATTAACTGCGCCTTTCTGTGTGTTACATTTTTATGTAAGAAAATGATTAATTTCAAACCATATTTAATATTTACGGAGCAAAAATGATACATTTCAGTATTCTTCAATGATCTTGGCGATGTGACCTCCATCTTCTGGCTTTCTCTTTCTATATTTTGGAGAGGATTCATTCCTTTGTTCGAATTTAAATTTAATTTAAATCAAAGGGAAAAAAGTCAGTGGGGTTACCCCCTAGGACATCCCTTGATCAAAATGAGATATACTCATCCAAGAACCCTAAGAGTCATTCCCTTGTTCAAATTTAAATTTAATTTATATCAAAAGGGGGAAATTTCAGTGGGGATTTTGCGCCTGCCTCTTCCCTCGAACCATCTTAGATCAAAATGAAATGTACTTCTTCAAATATTTTCAGAATATATGTGGTTATGGAGATCTATCTCCCAAACCCTATGATTTCGATAACAGACAGAGGCTATAAATTTATAGATGTATATGCCGTGTTCTTTTTGGCGTTAGGTGATTATGGCCCTCCAAAAATACTTTTAGTTCATTATTTGTGAAAAGCCATCATTTCTCTCCCGTTGGATGTTTAGCGGTTTTTCTATTTAGAGTGTTTATACTTCAAGCCGAGCTGATATACTAGGCCGGAAACCCAATCAATCCTGTTCTATAAATCATGGCTGAACTCATGCATTTTCCAAGGGTATTAATGCTGGAAACTAGGTAGGAATATGAACTCATCTGGTTGATCCCCCCGGTCAAATTGAAGAAATGCGTACTTACCTATACATTTGTTAATTTGAATAAAATGCCAATGTAGTTTGCTTTTAAAATCAGTATTAGAAATCAGGCTTTTATTTAATCTGGTTTGAACACCTGCAATTTAGCACAGTTTTAGATACGCAATTTTATCCCTTATGAAAGAAACATTTATAGCAATTTTCCAAGAATAGCTTACAAGTGGCACAAGGCCTAAAGTAGGGGCACCCAGTGAAGATCGAACTCACTACTCAGTCGTAATTGATCGTAGATAAGCTTTCTAAACACTACACCATGTCGAGGTGCCCTCAAATGATTTTCTAGACATAGCTGAGATGTGGCACAAAGCCGAAAGTATGGGGTTCCCAGTGAGGATAGAACTCACTACTCAGTTGTAATTGTTCTAGCGAGACAAGCTTGCTAAACATTACACCGCCTCGAGATGCCCAAAGGATTTTCTAAGCGTAGCATAGATGTGGCACAAAGCCGAAAGTCTGGAGCACCTAATGTAGTTCAAACTCACTACTTAGACACAATATAGTGAACTTCCAGGCGTAGCTCAGATGTGGCACAAGGCCGAAAGTACGGGGAACCCAGTGTGGATCGAACTCATTAATCAATTGTAATTGTTCTAGCAAGAACTAACTTGCTAACCATTACAACATCTCGAGTCGCCCTAAGAATACTTTTATATACCATAAATGTAAACTATAACAGACTTGTTTTCGCATTATTTATTTGAAGATAAAGACGTGAGTTGAAAAAAGACAGGCTGTAGCATGAGTACAATTTTAGAACGTACATAGAGATGGTTGTTGCAATTGACGAAGATGTGGGTTGGTTTGCTTGTATGTCTGTGCTGATAATTTCAAGACCTGCATACCATAAATGTATATTTTTTTGACTGGCACTCACAGTAAAATGGCGGTACCCAACTTCTGTTCAAATAACAAATAAAATATATATTGATTGATTAATTCGTTTCCTAGGACTTATCAAACTTTTGAAGATTATTTAAAACCAGGAAACCGTTTTAAATTATAAGAATGTTTTAGCTAATAATGATTTAATCATGTAAGTCTTACTAATTGACCCTTAGATGGGTAAAGAATAGCTGTCTCCATAACTTTTGCAACATTATGTGCGCAGAAGTGAATATAAAGGACCCAATGGGAATTGGAAATCAGCTCTCCGCTTAACAATACAGAGACATTAAACATTACACCACCCGTACATCCCAGCTTACAGCACTTGGTGGTCACCGATCTAAGCACTGACCAAACTCAACATTGCTTAACTTTGGTGATCGTACGGGAACCGGAGTTTCAACGTGTTGTGGCCGTAAACCACGTATTTTTAATTAGGATATTATCATCACGAGAGAAGCACTCTTAAACTGTCAGTTTTGATATTTGATTTAAACATAATCGTGTATATGTAGAAAAAGGTTTTTATATATGGAAGCAGAGAAGAGACGAAATATTTTTCAGTGTATTTATTCCTCTGTATAGATGAACAAAACTTTTTGCGTAGAATTCTTTTCTATGAGAAGTACAGAGAGAAGAGAAATGAGGGATTGAGTTAAATGAGTAAGTACTGCCACACATACACACATACATAACACATACATACACACTTACATACACACATATAGCTGACCACTCGTATTCAAATATACCCGTCTATTAGGGCGCCTAGCCAATCCATATTGCAGACGCTTACTCAGGCGCATTTGCATTTATTCAACACCCGCAGAGCCAACTTGTTGTTTATACTACAACTATGCTGAGCAGACGTTAGTTACAGTTTTTGGAAAAGAGCGCGTAACCAACAATTTGAACAAGACCAGCTCGCTCAAGCCCTCGGGCACGATGACTTGTGACTTCGTGCTAGCGCAGCTATTGACGGCCCCCAATGGTTCAGTCTACCCAATTTCAGTCATAAGTCTTAGGTCAAAGAGTGATATGGTTTTCAGGCACTTTCCAAAGGTGTCTCACGTTGGGGTTGACCCGTCCAGTCCGATAACATCGTGAAGTCTCCTTCCTGACAAATCGACCATGGTGAGATTCGAACCCAGGTTTTATGGTCAGAATGCAAACCTTCAAACGACACGTACCTATATACATATACATACATACGAAAAAAAAAAAAAAGATTTTATACCACAGAATTTATGTATTGTTTAAAAAATAACGGAGTGCATTCTTTAAAGGAACCTTTTTCGTCCAAACAATGGGTGAGATGTAAATCAGGAGCCACGACTAAAATAAATTTATTACTAAGAAAAATATTGTAAAACAGATTTAAATTTATACTCATGGCGCATTCATGAGACACAGAGTACGAAGAACTTTCGGTTAATTTGCAGAATAAGAACCAAAAGCCCCCTGGTGTGAAAACGATTGGTTATTTCGAAACTGACATTAAAAAATTGCGCTCGATTGCCGTTTTCGATTGATGATCAATGTAAATTCGATCTATTTTGCGTTGTCCCGCCGCTAAGACTGGCGTTGTTTACATGCGTTTTCCTCTAGCAATAATGCGCGGAAGATAACGTAGTTGAAGGCCTTTTTACAGCTTTTCGTATCTTAATGGTCTTGATTGCTATGCGATTTTCTCGGAAGTTATTTTAAAATGCGGTTATTTTTTAAAAAGAAGTTTTAAATAAATAGTATTTACCTTTATTGTCCTTAATAAATCTCCTTACAGCTAATGAAACAGAATCTCAGCCTAAAATGTAATTTTTGAAGCTTTAAATTCAAGAAACCTTTACGACACATAAAAAAATCGATGAAAAAAATTTTCATTTTTTTCATCGATTTTTTTACTTTTCAGGCACGTAATTTTTATTTTATTTTATTTGTCGGACTTACATTGTCCATAACTTCTAAACGGTAATATTTTAATGTCATTTTCGAAATTATAAGGCGATTTCACATCAGAATGGAACATTCTCAATACCGGGGGTTTTGGTGATTATACTCTAAATGAACCGAATATTCTCTTTATACCTGCCCAAAGTAGGTCGATGAAGCTTGATGCGAACTGCTTTAAAACCATAAATGTTTAGCCGACAGAACTTTATTTAGTAATCTGAACACATCGTCAGAAAACGTTCTTAACAAAATGCTGACCCACGAAGCGATTTTACGCCATTCACTTTTTTTAGTTTCACCGTCTTCATTATTTTTGTTCCAACGAATGATTCTCTAAAAAGTTTGGTTTGTTTGGTTGGTTTTCTTTTGTTTTACGGCAAATCAACCTCAATGGGGGGGGGGAATCATTTAATTCCAACAACTTTTTTTTTCCTGGATATATCTATCTATCTATCTATCTATCTATCTATCTATCTATCTATCTATCTATCTATCTATCTCTCTATCTCTATATATATATATATATATATATATATATATATATATATATATATATTGTCAAAAATCCATTTCTGTTAATATTTGTTTTCTCAAAAACGTTTAGCTGGTAACATTATTTTTCAAAAACGTATAGCTGTTAATATTATTTTTCTTTTTGCAAAATCGTACAACTGGCAAAATTATTTTTTCAAAAACGTATTATCAGAGGTCTTCATGTTGGACGTAGTTTACCCAGGACGCGGATGTAGTTTATCGTCATACCCAGGGCGCGGATGTTGTTTATGGTCATATCCAGGATGCTCTGAAGAAGTGTTGGACGAAAAAAGTTCCTACACTGACAATGTTTTGGATAGCAGGATGCAAAGATAATCGCATGTGTCACCACCACATTTTGACGACATGGAAATGTTCTGATCTAAAACTAGTTTTGAGTATGACGATAAACTACATCTGGAATTAAGGGCTCTGATCGGGAGCTTGGAGGATTTGGGAAGCGTGGAACCACTTTTCAATTGCCGTTGTTCCCAGATCGGCCCTGAAGCGAGATGGTAGCACTTGTTAGGTGACCACCGATGGGCAAATAGTTGCCCCCCCCCCAACCAATAAAAATCAATAGTACATTTTTTTAAATAAAATGACCAAGTTTTCTGGTAATATGGCAATCAATGCAAAAAACGAAAAAAAATATAAGAATGTATTTTATAGAATAATTAGCCACAATATATTTAATGAATAACAAACTAGATACCTAAAAATATACCTTTACCCTGAAAGCATAAAATAATGTGCAAAATATTTAGGTTTCGGAATTACATAACCCATAGAGGTGAATATGCCGCCAGACAAGATCAATCAACCAAACAACCAATAAACACATTCACGACTCATACAATATCTTACAATTTCTTAAAGAAATCCAACTGTATTCCGAAACATAACTTCAGCTACAACATAAAACACACATATCACCGCCTGTAGTACTTATGTCAACACAAGCATGTATATGCACAAAAGCTGAGTATTATCTACCATGTATTCCATGTGAAAGCAGAATAACATATCATATTTTTATTACTTCTAACCGTCTAAGAAAATTAAATTCCGGCATTAAATGACCCATAAGGAGTTGATTTGCCGTTAAATAAAAAATGAAATCAAGACGGTTAGAAGTAATAAAAATTTGTTATGTTATTCTGATTTCACATGGAATACATGGTAGATAATACTCAGTAGTTTGTTCATGACAAGGATACTTAAATTATTGCAATTCTACATAGTTATGTTAGTGTGCACCTGAGGGATGAGACATGGCACTTATGAATTCCTAGAGACATTTGAGATCCTCCAATCTTTGGTGTTACGTGTTTACTGTGAAAAAAATATTCGAAGGGATTTCTGCCGGCCTTGGACAGCGCAGTAGCCGACAACTTAATCTTAGTAACCTTGACGAAAGTCATCTGGCTATAATCATTATATAATCCGGTGTTGTTTATCTTCCCTGAGATATGGAGAAGAAAACTTAATAGGAAACACCTGTTAAAACCAGGGAAGGGTTTTCTTGTTTTGTGCAACGCGTTCATTCAGGACATAGGTGATCATGGCTCTCTACAACTTCCTAACTCGTGTAGGTCTTAGCAATTTTACAAGCAAGTGGTTCACAGTATTCAGTTTTCCAAGCCCATATTCCTCATTATATGTCTAAAGTATTTCAGCTGTCTTTTCCTCATTCACAAGTATTTGCCTATTTTAGTTGTCATTTAATTTAAGACTTACATATTTCTTACTCGTTTCGTCCATGGAATTTGTAGAATTTTTCTGTAGCACCCCATTTCCGCTTTTTCTAAAAAAAAATTTTCTGTGTGGAGACTGCCCAGCATTCACTATCATATAAGAGGATGGATATTACATAGTAATGCAGTGCTCTTTGCTTTGTTTCTGCTGGACCCTCTAAAAATGGCATGGCGTAGTTCAATGAATCCAGTTCACTTGAGGTAAGGTTCTCTTAAGTACGATTCGTGTGTGGCACAGTAAGTTAACATTGCATGCATTGGTAGACTGGTCCGTCTAAATATATCAATGACTGCTAACAGTAAAGTTGCACTGATTCGTGAATTTTGCAACTATTCATACACTTCATATAACACAGCATCGATAGTTTATTCTAACATGAAAATACAGCGTGTCATCGTCTTCCTGCGACAGAGAATTTGTTTGAGCAGCATTTTTCTGACATCTGACAAATGGTATAGCATCGATGTTTAGCCAGCAAGAGCTGAGTCGAGAACTGATGGGGCGTATTGTAGATATTTATACGCACGCAAGATCCGACACTTCCATATATTAGGAAGCCATGTGGAGCTATAAAAAACAGTACGGTTCAACATATATCTAGCCTTCTTAACTCTTGTGGAATCGATGCCAGAATAAGACGCTGCACTTCTCCGAAAAAGTCCTATACAATATTAAACATCAATCTTATACCTTTTGATACGTCATGCTATATATATATATATATATATATATATATATATATATATATATATATATATATATATATATATATATATATATATATATATATATATATATATATATATAGTATGTATATATAATGAACGTATGATTGTCAAGCATCTCAGTTCTTAGAAACCAACGGCCAGACACCAGCACATATGATTTCATTATAGTGCTGAAAGCTTTGTGCAGAACCAACCACACTTTTTGAAGAGCTGATGAACCATGTGCCAAAAGATCCCCAAACGACCCTCCGCGGAGTTTTGAATTCAGATTTGTCTTTAACCTCGACCAGTTGTCATCCAAGGCTATAGAACCTAGCCTGTCCTTCTATTTACCCATAGCTGACGGGAGGAGGAGAGGATTCATATATTTCCCAAGGGTATTAGCAGGTGAGTGTAATAGATTCAACCGGAATTCGAACTCGGCACCCCATTCCTTAATCCGAGCCGTTATCCACCGTACTACATACATATATATATATATATATATATATATATATATATATATATATATATATATATATATATATATATATATATATATATATATATATATATATATATATATATATATATATATATATATATATATATATATATATATATATATATATATATATAATATTTGACATTAATATTTTTTATAAAAAGAGATGAACGAAAATTATAAACAAGATGAATGCAGAATTAAGAACATTATAAAAGAATGCATAACACTAGTTGAGAATAGCAAAAAAAGTTAGATTCCTTATTTATTACAAAAAATTTAGAACCTCTAACTTTAAGTTGAGAATAATAATTCTCCTCTTAGAACAAAATTAAATAGGGCAAATATTATTTACGAATTTAAATGCCCATTAAGTAATTGTATTCCTGATCAATCAAAATTCGTAAATAATTATATAGGCCACACTACAGCATGTTTGACACGCAGATTTACTCTACACCTTTCTGGCCATAGCTCAATTAGATCTCATGTAAATATTAATGGAGACCTACTGGACACTATTCTTAACATTCCTGTTGACAACACTAATATAATAGCAACATCTACATGCAAAAATAGGCTAAAAATAATGAAAGCCTTATTAATAAACAAAAAAACAACACTTAATAATTTGAACATTGACATAATATCTTGACCGTGTTTTAAAAAATTAAAAGATTTTATAAAACATACATACAACAAACTATTTCTTATTTTAACAGTTAAAATATAATACTTGAAAATGGCTAAATATATAGCCGAAAGCTCTCGGATCAATAGAACATTCGGACAGTTTTTATATAATTTATTATCCGAAAAGAAAAAAAAAATGGTAGATCGCATGAGAAATTGTATAAGAAACTAAAGAAAACACCTTGTCTGTCGTTTTCAATGAAGTGTGCATGATAGAAGGATTGCTGCCTAAGTACACACACATATATAAATATATATATATATATATACATAATTATACACGTCTGTTTGTGTTGTGTGTGTGTGTGTGTGTGTGTGTGTGTGTGTGTGTGTGTGTGTGTGTGTGCGCGCGCGCGGGCGTATGCGTGTTCGCGTTAATCCGACAGCCTTAAGCGGAATTTTTTAGTGGATAACCCTATTTGAGTAGACGGTCCGTTTATTTTAAACAGCATGCTTTTTTTCCTCTGCCTCCTGAACGCTTCAGAAATCCTATATTAAAGAAAAAAAAAACGCTCTCTGTGAGGCTTCGAACTTGCGTTCCCCTCAGCAGGAGAAACCATCATTAGATACATCTTAGTTTTATACAAGGCCGAATACTGTTTTTTAGTAGTATAAGTTCTTGTTTTATATTCCCGAATGTTCATAATTGAAACTGATCACATATCAGCGAAAATATTTGATAAGATAAAAATTTCTGTTGACAGGTGCTTCACGTAATGTTATACGAACTTTAAGGAAAAAAAAACAAACAAAACAAAAATACAGCCAGATATCAAACATTTCGGATTTACATGGAAAAACATCATTAATGCATCACGATTAGACACTAATGTAAATGTGGTACTCTGGAAAAATACTTTGCAAACAAAGCAGTTTTTACAAACCTTGCCAAATTCCTAAAATTGAAACTAGTCTATGTACTTTTATAGAAGAAATTGATAATATTTTGCAGAAGCAGCCAAACTATACGCATGTAAATAATGATGAATAAAAATACCTTTGATAAAGTCGGATGCTCAGGCGTTCTTTATCTGACAAATATTCTATTTTTAGTAATCAAGTTTCAGACAACTTCATAATTTTCTTACATTCATTATCCATACTTACATCCCTGAGAATAAAAAAAACAAACTATCTATTGATAGTTTATGATTACTAAACAGAATCAATCTCATCTGCAAGAAAAACAAAAAGTTATCTTTTATTGGGTAACGAACCATATCCGCATATCCGTAAATGAAAAAGCTGATATAGCGGCAAATATTCCTTAAAAATGAATATTTTCAAATTTGAAAATCCTCTATACGGACTACAAAGAAATTATAAATTCATACATTCTAAACAAATGTCAAAAATTAGAGAAGTACTACCCAAGCAAGAGACTTTACAAAATTAAACTTATTCTAGGAGAATGGCAAAATAAACAGAATAAGTTGTCTTATCAAGAATTAAAACAGAACATAACTACAAGACACATCTCTCTATTTTTGTCGTGTCAGGAGGCATATTCTGACCGACTATAGTGAGATCGACGATGTTATGACATGACTAGTCTAGAGGTTTGTCTATACCACAAATTATAACCCTAAATAATTCCTTTCTAGACGCATAGCAGGAGAGAGATAGAACCAAGAGCCCAAAGTATTGTTTACATGTCATATGCTTAAAAACAATTTTTGGTATTAAATAACGGAACTGATATGCAGTTAAATTCAATTAATAAATGAATTATTGTCTTGTGCTGATGCATTATCTTTAACACTAAGTGGAATTATGGTTATACTTGCTGAATTACCTTTGCCTTGCAGCGTGTCAAAAATTTTTTCATAAGAAACTGATGGTTGATTTTAAATCATTGTTATAATTTGTGGAGAAAAATGATGCATTACAATATTACTCAATGATCTTGCCGATGTGACCTCCATCTTCTAGATTTTTTCTTTCTATATTTTGGATAGAAGTGATTCCTTTGTTCAAATTTAAGTTTAATTTAAATCAAAGGGGAAAAAACTTTCAGTGGTGGGATTGTGTGCACAATTGGAACCCCCTTCAATGAAAAAGAAATATACTTATCCAAGTACCCTAGAATTCACCCCTTTGTTCAAATTTAAATTTATTTTATATCCAAGGGGTAAAATCAGTGGACTGTCATGCCATCCCACCAGGGAACATCTTTTGCTAATATTAAATGTACTCATCCAAGTACCCTGGAAAATGTAGTTTCAGAATATATATTATTATAGGAGGTCTATCTCTAAACCCTGGTAGGAGTTTCATAACAAACAGACATGCAGGAACTACAACCTTATATATGTAATTTTTTATAAGCATTTCACGTAAGGCGGGAGTGTCATTAACTCGCCAGGGGTTACAGAGAGTGAAAGCAAGAGTAAAGAGCGGTGTTTGAGGAAAAGATATAGAGAAGAATCGTGATCTGTATCAGTATATTAGAAGATGTCGATTGACATTTAATTTCAATATTTAAAGATTATAGCTATCAGGTAAGCAAGTAGCAGGAAGGGAGATACACTGGTGGGAAGTGCAAGAGAAAAAGTTGTTGGAGTAGAAGAGGCGGTTACACTTAACTGTTTCGACAATGAAAGGGTTGGACTGAGATGCCAACCTAGTAGCACGCATAAATTTATACGGATGACGTACCAGTGAAAGCAACTCGTCAGAGTAGTTGTCATGAAAATATTTGTAAAAAACAAAAAACAACAAAAAAAAAAAAAACAGAAGGAAGTCACATCATCTCTGTGAGAAAGTGACTGTGAATGAGATGCCAGATCAGGACATTGCATACCCGTCACTGGATTTTGTCTCGTACCTCGAGATAAACAGTGGAGGAACCAGACCATATATGTCAACAGATTTCAATGCAAGGATAAATGGTAGATTTGAAGCATGTTCAGAGGAACATAAAAGATGGTAGTGTTATTGATATAAGCAGCAGCCTTATTCAATAATTGAAGCAATTATTCTATAGTTTGTTGCATGTAATAAGGCGAAACATAACCTTGTATGCAAAAAAATATATATATATTTATTTATTTTGAAATTTGCGCGTAACACAAAAATGGAATTTAGCAGAGACTATAAAATATCGTCGATATTTGGAAGAAGACATTCGGAAAATATGATTCCGGTTTATTTAAAAATAAACCGAAAACGAACTCAACCATTTTCTGTAATAATGGTATTAATGGAGATATAATTTAAGAAAAAAGAACTGATTTTGACAATATGGTTAGCCTCCATTTTTTATCTGTGGGGGGGGGGTCTAATTAAACATTACTTCCTTTCACCAAACGAGGTTCCTATTTGTTTTCAAGTGTAGTTTCAAAACCCTATATTTTTGGTCATCCAATCCTGCCTTAGAAATGTTCCGGAAATTCATACTGAAGGTTTGTTCACTTGGTTACATGCGTTTGATAGATTAGTTAGCAAATTTCCAAAGCTAAATTCGGTCAAGTAACTTTGAAAGCAGCCCCGATAAAAGCTGTTCCAATCACAGCATCTATCTATCTATCTATCTATCTATCTATCTATCTATCTATCTATCTATAGAGAAAGTGATGATGAAGAGGTCGTTCGCTTGCTGTATCCCAAATTAATAAAACAAAAAATAGGGATAGCAATATATAGAGAGAAAATGTAAGAACATAGTGAATATATGGCAAATGTTCTCTAATCTCCGTACTTGAAAACATACGATAGTTATTAATCTATCTATCTATCTATCTATCTGTGTGTGTGCAGATAAACTATATTTAGACAGCAAATGTTCGTGTTAACAAGGTTATTTAATTCAAGAAGACGTTATATATGTCAATTTGTATATTGAATTTTACCACTTTTCGAACAAATTCTTATACACCAAGTTAAAGTTCTCTCAAAGTTCATGCTTTTGCCCGTGGATTTTAAAACATTTCGGTCATTATCATAACTAAATATTGTCGGTATCGTAGAAAATTTATTGCTTTTAGATCCTGGCAATTTTAGGATCGTTTCTATTTAAAAATATATATTTGTGTACGTTATGTGTGGCCTCGTGTATAGAATGTTTTTACAACACCAAAAGGGGCATTTGAACTCATAGATAAATTACAAAGAACGAAAATTATCTATGAGTTCAAATGCCCCTTAAGGAACTGTATTCCTGATCAAACCAGACTCATAATTACATCGGTTACACAACCACATGCTTATCCAGACGTCTTACGTTACACCTATCTGCTCAAAGCTCCATTAGAACCCATTTAAACACACACACAAATTTACCCGACTCCATTAGTAACATAAACAGAAACCACAAATATATTAACTGCATCTACCTGCAATAAAAGACTAAAAATAATGGAAGCTTTAATAATAAAAAAGAAAAAGCCAATTCTTAACAATATTAACTACTAAAAAAACCACAATGTGCTAACTTTATTCGGAAATTAAAAACATCCCTACCACACACTAAGACATACACAGAATGCACACACTCAATTAAGCTGAAAAATCGAATCATCCTTGATAATGGCTAAAGGTATAGCCGAAAACGCTCGGAAATATAAAACATTTGAACACTTCTTACACACTCTTTGTCCAGAAAAGAAAGCTCTTGTTAAAACACAAGAAAAATTAAATAAAAAGCTTAACCGTAGTACATTGTCTGTCGTTTATAATGAAACATGCATAAAGGAATGATTGCTGCCTATATACACAATATATATATATATATATATATATATATATATATATATATATATATATATATGTGTGTGTGTATGTGAGAGAGAGTCTGTGTGTCTGTGGTTGGTGGTGTTTATGTGCGTGTTTGCGGAATTTATAGAAGGTGATGCTGAAAAATGTTGGACATTACCCTCTTCAAAATATGTGGTTAAATGACTGAACATCAGAAACAAAATCACTTCCGGATTGAGATATGAATAAATATGTAAAGTTTTATATATATATAACGTATAAAATATAAAATAAGGAACAGGATGAGGATAATAAGAATAAAAAGAATATCTCCCTATTATATATATATATATATATATATATATATATATATATATATATATATATATATATATAATTTTATAGACACAGACTTGCGTAGGCACATATATTTTTGCACGTAAATGCATATACACATCCCATGCGGACAGTAGAAAATCTCGCATAAATATCTATCTCAACAAATTACTGCACTGTACCGATCAGAGGCTTTTTTTATTTTATCCACCTCGAAGCACATGCCATTGCAAATTCGGCAGGCTGATCTTGACGTTCCCCGACAGAACTCCACCCTAAACCCTAAATAGAGAGTAACCGTCGGTTTCCTACCCAACAAATCCATCCCTTAGCCTGGATTTCAAGACAGACGCGCCAAGAAAAGAGGGAGTAGGGTGTGTGTGTTGGGAAGGTAATGTAGAATGTTGTCCTTTGCCCTCCTTTGCCCTCATCTCAATTTCATAGTCCCTTGCAGTCGAATGTAGAGAAAAAAAATTACATAAAGACATAGCTCCCTGTTGAGTCTTCCCTTCTTCATGAACAACAACGCACCGTTTGCTGTAAGCTGATCGATGCGAGACTAGGGATCTGGTGCCAGGGAGAAGATTTCGTAGAAGAGATGGGCGCAGTAAACGAGGAAAGATGAGAGTGGTTACCATGAAGCCGATGACAGCGACAACGAAGCCGAGAGATGAAGGTGGATGGGTTGTGGAGTCAGTTCGAACATTAGCGGAGAAGAGAATGAGAAAAGACTTTTGGATTGGAGTCTGGGGAAGAACGCTTGGTGAAGAGATGAGGGTGTGTGATGAGTCATGCATTCATACCGCTACTGTTCATTCGATTTGCTTGGCTACTCGGCACACACACACACACACACAAATAGGGACAGGGGCAAAGAAAACGTTGGGTCGTATTCTGTGGTAAGGGATGCAGAAGTTTAAGCAAGAAAGAAATTGATAAAAAGGGGTTTGGACAAAAGGCTTTATAAAGAATGGAAATATAAAAAAAGGAGAGTTGCGAATGTGGCTATATGGTTGTTGCGGGGGAATAATACATAGAGGCTGATGCGAGTCAAATGAATGGAATTAAAGAGAATGGATTTGGTGAAGGAAGCATTTGGTGGTAAGTAGCAAACAATTCAAAGGAAAACGCATAAAATAGGAAAGAAGGAGAAGGAGGAGGGGACGGGAGAAAGAAAGAAAGAAAGAAAGAAAGAAAGAAAGAAAGAAAGAAAGAAAGAAAGAAATCTGAAATTATGTTCGGGAATTGAAATACTCGACAACACGAAATGAGCGTAGTGCCAGCAATGCTTTGAGCACTTGGACCGGTGCTGAAAACACTAAAATTGATTTTATTAATTACAAATTTCTTAACGATTTGAGAGTCTTCAGCATATGGTGTTTCATGTTGGGAATGGTGTTGGAGGCATGAAGGGATATGCCATCACACAATCTCCAGCAACAATCAGCAATTGCTGGGAAGTACCTTATACATCATCATCATCATCATCATCAATAATAATAATAATGAATCCTTGAGGCCTTGAAGTCCAAATAAAGAGAAGTGTTGAAAAGATCCAGCCCGCGACGTTAATAAGAGAAGCAGAATATAGAAAAGAATACAATTAATGTATTACAAAAGTAAAAGGTATTTGAAAAAATATTCTCTCACCTACGCTCCAGTTACATAAACTGTGATATTTTAGGTTTAAATAATAATAATAATAATAATAATAATAATAATAATAAAATCTATAGAGAATTGCGCGATTTAAAAAGAGAAAAAAAACGGTGTTTGACAATGTTCAACAATATTTTCTTTTCTTTAAATCACGTTGTTCTTTAAGCGTTGGAAAATATTGGAATAGTTACATCAACCATTATTTTAATAATAATAATAATAATGATAATAATAATAATATTAAAAATAATAATCATTAAATTGTAGAATTTAAGTGCACGAATAGATATGACAAGGTAGCAAAAAGGATCCTCTATGAATTGTGTTGATGATTGACATTTGGGTTTACAAATCTTTACTTGAATGTAAGAAAGTAACATTTCATGAATAATGAAATTCTAATGTTTCAGGAAATCCTAGCATAAAAGCAGATATAATCATATTAAGAGAAAGAGATCTGTCAGATTGTGAATGTTACATTTACAGCTTCAAATGAAACAGAATGAAAAGCTAGTTTTCTATTAAGAAAAAAAACTGGAATAAAGAAAAAAATATGTAAAATAAGACACACCCAATAGAAAAGTAATACAACTTGATAAACGTAAAAGGCAAGTAGTTGTAATAAGACATGATTACAGGTACAATCCTTACCCAAACATATTAAATTTAAAATTTGTTTTGTGATGGAGAAAATTATATCTATCATCGTTGGCGGAGGTGTAACATCTCTAATACGGTGTCTAAAAATTTATACGGATTGAAAATCCACAATGAAATTGAAACCATTTAAATACTCTTCATCTATGTGTCGTGTCCCTTCAGCACGAAGGTGATCACACCTCTCCACAGCTTCTTCTACTTGCTAGCTGTTACTAAGCTTCGTCTTTACGTTATCACACACAATCCCCTTCCTGCCATCAATTCACACAAGCTTATTAAGTAGGTTATTCTTCAGTATTTACATTAGTCGGACTATTGTCCTCATCTTTGTCGCCATATTTGTCACAACGTTTCGGCCGTTGTACGCTCCGGCCTTCTTCAGGTTCGAACTGAACCCTTTATTTCGATCACTGTAGACTGTTCTAATTCCACGTGCAATGTTTGATGGATGTCAGTTATCAGTTATCTCCTGCTATACTGAATGCATGTAGAACACAAGAATAACCTAGAATTTCCCTCTGAAAGTTCTCCACTGCCTTAACCAGGAATTGAACTCACCTCCTTTGGGTCTGTCACTGGATCTAACCAACGCCTTTATCCACTGTGCCATGTTTCCTTGAGGACATCTGGGTATTATAAACCTAATGTTTTCAGCATCATTTTTACCAGTGCTCATATTGCAATTTTTTGCTGTTATCATTACATGTCTTTACCAGAGTTCATATTGCAACTTTGTTATCATTGTTTTCTCTGGCACTCCTTATTACTGGTTCCCATATTGTATGTATTTCTATGCTTGGTCGGCTCAGGAGATTTTTGTGGCCTAGCATATGTGCTGATTCCTTAAGTTTACGAATTTTCCAATGGTGTTCCCTGTCTAAATATGGCGACAAAGATGAGGACAATAGTCCGACTAATGTAAATACTGTACATAATACCTCTTCTCAGAAATATAGACAAACTTTAGGTTATTCTTGTGTTCTACATGCATTCAGTATATTCTATGTGAAACCATTTCTCCAAGCACTCTATCTTCATTGTGTGCCCTAGACATTTTAGCTGTCCTTTCTCTTTCAATTTCCCTTAAAAGTTCATTTTTACTCACATGACATTCATAGTATCTTTGTTTCAGTCTAAGAACTCTAATTATCGACCTATTAGTCTTCCGTCTTTTTTTTTCGGTGAAGTTCTAGACGTTCTAATTAACTCTGAATTGGTTAAGCATTTCATAAGTTGAAAGGTTTTGGCGTATCTGGGCGAATTTTAAAACTGATTCAATCTTTCTTATGAAATAGCGAAATGAAAGTTGTTTTGAATGGCCACTCTTCTAGATCTTTTGACATTAATGCTAATGTCACTCTTGGACCTACGTATCTCCTAATTTTCAAAAGTTCTTAACTCGGTGTCTATCCTGATGTAACAACTATTTACATTTGTCTTAATGCTAAGTCAAACCAGTTATTCAAGTGGAAAATGAATTGTTAACTAGGGTAAGAAGTGGCATGTTTATTTTAACATTCACGAAAAGAGATTACACTTTTTTAATCGCTTAAGAGAACATCTTTTGCCTTCCATCAGCATGACTGATGCTACCCTCCAGAGGAGTTATTCCTGATTAAGGTTTTCCACTGATGTGAAATGGAAAGATTATATTGAATCAATTGTAATCTTTACTACTATTTTTCTGACCAGAAACTATATTATACATTTATAAGTTTATCATTTTTCCATGCTTTGAATATTGTTGTCACCAACTCTTCTGGTCCTTCTTCTATGTATATAGAGATTGTTGATAAAATCAAATGAATAATCTGCAATGTTGTTGGTTCTGACCTGGCATCTCACCTTCAGCCATATTCCCACCGTTGTAATGTAACTTTGCTGTGCATTTCTTTAAATATTTTCATCGTAATTTTTCTGATTAGATTACTTCTTTCTTACCTAGACTTTATCAATTTAAGCATATTATTAGATTTGCGGCAAGGACTCATCATTTTAAATTTAAAATGCCCATATATTATCGTAAATCCTATATTAACAGTAAGTCTTGCTTGCGGAACCGTCTTCTGGCTTATTGCATTCCAGTCAACTTTGATCTTAAAAAATTGAAATGCAATGTCAATCGGTACATTACTGTTCATTTGTTGTTCGCTATCATTATCATCCCTCCTTTTTTTAATATTTACTTATACTCAGGAAACACCTTTCTTCCTTGAACCTTATTTTTTACTTGAGTTGAAATGAATAAAATAATCTACTTCGCTAGAACCACGTTTCTCTTACCTCAATTACATCTCCAAGAATATTGTCCAGTATTCACTGATATATAGAAGGACTGATATTACGTCACAGTTAACTAAACATTTCTTTTTTTTTTCGCGAATAACAAAACAAAAATAGGAAATATGTTTAGACGTTTGCTGGAATATTTAGAATAATTGATGTCAGTTAATCGATATAAACTACTCGTTTAAAAACTCAATGAATTATTCGGAATATATAAAAAAAAGAATTCCAAATGTTCACTACATTTAATGTCTAAAGAAAAAGAAATGTCAACAAATGGAATTCAATTACGAGACACCAATTCAGCTGCAAACTACCGTAATAAATATCAAGAGGAAATAAAAGAATAAATAGACTAGAACACTTCAAGAAAATACGAATGACCTAAATAAATCTAATAAAAAAGGATCAATGCAGAGACAATATTAAGTGTGTCCTTTCCTAGACTTAACAAGAAAGGAAATTAAATCGATTGATCAACGGACTAGGAAATAAATAACAATGAACAGTGTCCTAACATATCAGAGATGACACGAAAAGACTCGATGTAAGGAGGAAATCTGGAAAAGAATCAGTCATTATCGAAGACTGCTTTAAAGTGAATCTGATATACACAACGAAATAGAGAAATGGTAATGGCAACTTAGAAAAAGGAAAGAAATATAAAGGGTGTCACTGAATTCTGGACACAGGATATCTCATAATTCTGTTGTTGTTTTTTTCATCTCCACAGATTAAACATGTTTTGTTGAAAGAAGAAAGATATACGCCCCTTTCTGAAGTCTGCGAAAGTATAAGATGATAAAAATAAAAATGCAAAAATAAAAAAAATTTCAAAAGTGAAAATATTAGGTTGGTGCAAAAATAATGACGTAATAATGTCGTTTTTGACGTTAAAAAATACGTCAAAAAACGACATTATTACGTCATTATTTTTGCACCAACGTAATAATAGATGCAACTCACTTGATTGAACACATAAAGAGTGAATGTTCTAAATTTGACGGCAATCGGGGGAGTTATTGAATCGAGGTCACGTGAATCTTGCAAAGCGCGGAAACCTTTGCATCATAAATGATGGAAATCCTATTGAAGATGTTACTTGTACCTGGCTTAAGTCAGAGGGTATCACCTAGACAAGGCTCTGCCGAAGAGCAGAGTCTCATCTCGGCTAACTGACTCCGTTTATACG